TGTTATCTGGCCAAAGAGTCAGCGGGCCTCTTATGGCCAGGGCTTCCTCCTGGGTGATGGTTCTGCTCTGCGCCAGACACAGAGGACACAGTGCCTCCACAGCACTGCCTCCCCACTCATCCTACCCTAAGGAGCTCCTCACCTGCCGTCATTCATTCATTGGTTCATTCCACCAGTAATTATTAAGCGCCTAGTCTGTACTAGGCACTGTCCTCAGCTCTGGGATTACAGAAGTGAACAAGGCAAGATTTCCCCCTCCCCCCATTATGGAATTTATATTCCGGTGAACAGGAAAAAATGATGAATAGATGGATACCAAAATTTCAGAGAGTATCAGGGGCTCTCGATGGACTAAGGCAAAGGCTGGAGCAGAGGGTTTCTTTACATTGGACGGTCAGGGAAGGCAACATTTGAGCAGAGACCTGAATAAAGGGGACCCAGCCTTCCAAAGATCTGGGGAAGGGGAACAGTGGGGCGTATATCCTGAAGTGGGAATGAGTGTGGCTCATTGGAGAATAGCAAGACCAGAACAGCACGCATTGAGGCAGAGATGGGAGGAAGTAAGATCAGAAAGGCAGGCAGGAGCCAGATCACATAGGACCGTGGGGGCCATGGCGAGGACTTGGGGTATTTTATTTGATGTAGTGGAAGCCATTAGAGGATTTGAAGCAGGGAGTGACATGATCACATACAGATTTTGAAGGGGGACTGACTTAGGCCCATCCTGGGAAATACAGAAATAAAGCATAAAACCATGAGATGTTCCCTCTCTCACAGGGTTTCGACACAAACAGGAGAGGTGGGGACTTAAGAAGGGAAAGCTTCTGCAGAGGTGGAGTCACAGGCTAGGAATTTACAGGGTGGGGGCGTGCTTCCAGGAGGGGGTGGCATTGAAGCTGGACTTTTTTTTTTTTTTTGAGACAGAGTCATCTCAGTCTATGATCCAGGCTGGAGTGCAGTAGCATGATTGCAGCTCACTGCACCTTCCACCTCCCGGGTTCAAGTGATTCTTCCACCTCAGCTTTCCAAGTAGCCAGGGCTACAGGCGTGCGCCACCACACCTGGCTAATTTTTGTATTTTTTATAGAGACAGGGGTCTCGCCATGTTGGCCAGGCTGGTCTCGAACTCCTGACCTCAGATGATCCACCTGCCTTGGCCTCCCAAAGTGCTGGGATTACAGGCATGAGCCACCGTGCCCAGTCTGCAGCTCGGCTTTAAAGGATGGGCAGGATTATCAATTGTGTGACCCTGGGTGATTTGCCGATCTCTGCCACCTTCAGTTCCTTCATCTGCCAAATGGGCATGATAGTAGAACTACCTTAATTACTATGACTGGTAAGTAGCCAGGATTGGCAAAAGAGAAAGGTGGAGAAATTAACAGCAATTATGGCAACATCACACACTAATAATAACAGCTAACACTTTTAAAGGCCCTATTGTTTCAGGCAATAAATTTTTACTGTAACAGTAGAAAGTAAATTCTGTTACCAGCCCCATTTAACAGAGGAGAAGTCTCGTTGTAAAGATTAAAGTAAACTGTACAAGGGTATGCAGCTAGGAAGAAGCAGAGCTGAGATTCAAACCCAGGCAGCACACTGTATACGTTGGGGCCTCTGTGTGATGGAAGGTAGCAAAATATCCCAGCAGTTAAATTGGGCTCTGATGACAAAAGTAATTCAAGCCTTTGTCCTGCCATCTTCTAACCATGTGATCTCTTGGCCAAGTGACTTCTGAGCCTCTGTTGGCTAGTCAAGAAAAATGGGTTGTGGCTGGGTGCAGTGGTTTACTCCTGTAATCCCAGCACTTTGGGAGGCCATGGCTGGAGGATTGCTTAAGCCCAGAAGTTTGAGGCTACAGCAAGCCATAATCGTACCACTGCACTCCAGTCTGAGTGACAGAAAAAGACCCTGTCTCTTTATTTTTTTTCACTGAGATGGAGTCTCGCTCTGTCATCCACGCTGGAGTGCAGTGGCGCGATCTTGGCTCACTGCAACCTCCACTTCCCAGGTTCAAGTGATCCTCTCACCAAAGCCTCCCAAGTAGCTGGGACTATAGGCACCTGCCACCATACCCAACTACTTTTTGTATTTTTAGTACAGTCAGGGTTTCACCATGTTGGCCAGGCTGGTCTCGGACTCCTGACCTCAAGTGATCCACCTGCCTTGGCCTCCCAAAGTGCTGGGATTACAGGTGTGAGCCGCTGCTCCTGGCCAACCCTGTCTCTTTAAAAAAAAAAAAAAAAAGCGGGGGGTCGTTTGTGAGTCAATTCATATAGAGAGTTTAGCACAGTACAGACACTAGCCATGATCCTCATCACTGTTAGTGACAACCCTGGTAGAAAGTAAGCTGGAACCATCCAGTACGTTTAGGGAATACATCAGTCAGATTTTGTCACAATAATGCTGTGTAATAAGCTACCCCCAAAACTCGGCATCTTAAAACAACCATTGTTTATTACTGCTGGTGCATTTGCGGACCAGCTGGAGGGTAAACC